GATAGATAGATAGATAGATAGATAGATAGATAGATAGATAGATAGATAGATAGATAGATAGATAGATAGATAGATAGATAGATAGATAGATAGATAGATAGATAGATAGATAGATAGATAGATAGATAGATAGATAGGCAGGCAGACAGACAGACAGACAGACAGACGGACAGATGGGCAGACAGATAGTTTATTAATCCTGTGGGGGGAGGTTGAGGCATCCAGTATGTTTTTTAATTTTATTTTTTTTATATACAGTAGTATCACCAAAAGTTCAAAGCTCATTAATCCAGGTATAAATCCAACAAAGTTCAATCAGGTCATTTGGACGGTTTCCTTTGTTGCTGAGATCTTTTGTACGTCATCCTAAGGACTTCTTCAATCTGAGAAGACGCCAAACTAAACTGAATCTGACAAACGGCTCACTCCCAGAGTTTGCTGTTAATCCAGGTATAAATCCAACAATGTTCAGGTCATCAGGACGGTTTCTGAACTTTGGTGATTTGTTTTCCAGAGGAACTGACTTAACCTTGTTAGAGTTAATTTACCTTTAATTTTCATTTTAATTGTTGTACATTCACAATATTTTGTTAACATTTTACCTTAGACCTTCACTTGATAAGATGCAGTTATGATCTTGACACTAAAAATGTTATAAAAAATAAGAACTATGAAATCTAAGTGCAGTTTTGAGAATCAATCAATAACATCTTTTACAAACATGTAAAAGTTTAGGAGATAATAATTTTGTTTTGAGAGTCACTACAACTTTTTTTCTCCATATTGTCTTTTTTTTATCAATTTACCGGTCGATTTACGTTCCTACCTTCATCTATGGTCACGAGCTTTGGGTTGTGACCGAAAGAACAAGATCTCGGATACAAATGGCCGAAATGAGTTTTCTCTACAGGGTGTCTGGGCTCTCCCTTAGAGATAGGGTGAGAAGCTCGATCATCCGGGAGGGACTCGGAGTAGAGCCGCTGCTTCTCCGCGTCGAGAGGAGCCAGTTGAGGTGGCTTGGGCATCTGTTTAGGATGCCTCCTGGACGCCTCCCTGGTGAGGTGTTCCAGGCACGTACCACCGGGAGGAGACCCAGAGGAAGACCCAGGACACGCTGGAGGGACTATGTTTCTCGGCTGGAACGCCTTGGGATTCCCCTGGAGGAGCTGGACCAAGTGGCTGGGGAGAGGGAAGTCTGGGCCTCCCTACTTAGGCTGCTACCCCCGCGGCCTGACCCCGGATAAGCTGAAGAAAATGGATGGATGTCTTTTTTATCATAAAAAAAATATTGTGCACAATTGTTGTTTGTCAAAGACCAACAGAAGTAATTTAATCCAGACACAAACATGCTGACACACAAAGTGATTGTACCAGGGGCATGGAGAGATGTGGGGGTGACAGCTGGCAGAGATGGCTCACTTAATTCAGGACAGTCAGGGGGTAAGCTGGCCAACCTCGAGCAAACCACGCCAATGTCAGAGCGCGCACACACACAGAACGGATGTGGATCTGCAAGTCTGCAATCCATTATAATAACAGGTGGCTAACGAAGGCTAATTTTCTTCAGGTGACAAAGTTTAAATGGAATGAAACTGGATCCATTCAATTTATTTAAATTCATCATCTTTACACAGATCAAATGTTTTGGCAGCACTGACCTTAATGAGTTGTGCTGCTCATTTTGTCATACCATGTTTCTGCTCAAAATGACCAATCAATAAAAATATGAATTTAATTTTTAAAAAGGTTGATTATGGCTGGAAATTTTAGTGCATTATCAAATCAGAGGCACTTTAGGTTGATTTTAATTCATCACTGATTGTTAGAAGTCCCTTTCTGTCTCTCTATTCCCCCCCCCCCACCACCACCACCACACATACACACACATTTGGCTCCGATAATGAATAATAAGCATGACATTGATTGATTTCATCGCCATTTCAAAGTAGACCACTTATAGCTTTATCTCGTTCTCTTGAATGAAATCATCACACACACCTACACACACCTACACACACCTAGACACACCTACACACACGAAGTGTCTCATGTAATTCCACCTGCCTTTTTGCATTTGTCTAACTTTGACCAGGACAAAGACAGATTGTTTTATTTTATTTTTTTTAGTTAGTTTTTTTCTTTTCAGTCCACCCAGACTAGTAAGTCGTGCAAAAGCTGGAATGCAAATGCCCTAAAACCTTTTCTGTGTGTTTAGTTTAATGCTAAAACTAATGGCTGATAACAGAAACATGATTACAGAACAGAAGACAACAGTCCAACAAAGTTAAGTCAGATCCTCTGGACGGATTATTTTTGCTGAGACGTTTCATCTTTCATCCAAAAGACTTCATCAGTCTGAGGAGCCGCAACAAACTCAGTCCCATAAGTAACACACTCACAAAGTGGACCATTCAGTTTTCTGGTGATAAAACAAGAGTCTGCAACAAAAAAATATTGCCATGCCTTTGTTTTCAACAGTTTCACAAATTTATTCTGAAAACGTTTTCTTTTCTTGTCATTAGTTAAAACTTAGTCAGTAGTGAAAATAAACCATCCTGCTTTATTCATAAAGCACATAAAACAAAAACAAGGCCAACCAAAGTGCTTTACAGTAAAACAGAACAAGCAAAGGACACAGGATAAAATGCATAGATCCAAATACGTAAAGATAAGAACCAAATGGCTAAAATTATAAAATACAGACAAGTTAAAATCAGTTCACCTAGAGTCAAAAGCCAAAGTGAGTTTTTTTAATGGGACTTAAAAACAGTGAGAGAGGGAGCCTGTCTGACATGCAGTGGTAACTATTCCACAGTTTTGGTCCTGCAGCAGAGAAGGTCCTGTCATCTCTGAGCCTAAAACGAGTGTCTGGAACCAATAAAAGCATCTGGTCTGACCTCAGAGAGCTGTGGGACATATGGCTGCAGCAGATCAGTGAGATAGGAGTGGGCAGAACTGCTCAGATCTAAAAAACATACAGAAGGATTTTAACATGAATTCAGAAGTGAACCAGGAGCCAGAGAAGGGAGGCCAGAACTGGACTAATGTGCTCTCTTTTACCTGTACCAGTTAAAAATTGGGCTGCATCATTTTTGAACACATGTTGAGTACATATCTGTACTCTATAGTCAGTTGGTCAGCATTATCTACACGTAGGCTCTCACACTGGTTCCTTCTTATAGCTCCGCCGTCAGTGCAGTTACAACATGCGCTCTCAGGACATCATTACCTGCAGTGTTCCCTCAGTGCGGACTGAACTTGGCAAAAAGGCTTTTTCCTACTCTGCTCCTGCAACCTGGAACACCTTACAACAGGAACTGAAGTTGTCCTTGATTTCTTTAAGCGGTTTCACACATTTGATAACGTCAATAGAAAAATCTAAGAAAACTTGTTCTTGTTTTTAATATTTCACCCTGATTTATTGTTTTATACACTGCTCTTATTTTAATTGCATTTGTACTGTAGTTTATTGTCATTGTTGCCTGTACTTTATATGCTCTGTCTGGAACAGGTCCCTTTTGCGAATGAGTCTCTGGCTCATTGAGACTAGCTAGCCTGTATAAATAAAGGTTTGAATGAATAAATGAATGAATGAACCAGTTGTAAACGTGCAATAGATGTCTGACTGGTTAAAAAAAAGAAGCACGTTGCAGTAATCAAGACTGTATGTTATGAAAACATGTTTTACTGTCTCAAGGTTACTTTTGGACAGTATGGGTTTCAATTTAGACATTCACCTCAACTGAAAAATGAACATGATTTAACAATTGTGTTTACATGATTGCTTAGCTTCATGGAAGGTGTTGGTTAAAATAAATATCCTTTCATCATCTACTTACTGAGAATAAGCCACACTGAGGACACGCAAAGATTTTTTTTTCTGGTTTACTACTTGCAAGGGGCAGAGTTCAAACACAGGCTTACACAGATGTTACATCGAAGCTCCAGTTGTGAGGTCTGCCACGGACAGTATAAAGAAGTGCTTCAGACAGTCTGATGGCCACGGTCTGCCAGCTGACAGACTCTGAGAAGGCCTTGGAGTTTTTAGGTGGGCAGGCAAAACAGACAAAATAGCTCTCGGACTCACACAAATTAATTAAACATCAGTTATTGATAAACTCCCATAAACTTTACTTAAATTCCCTTGACAGAAGAGCTCATTTTCACTCGATTAGTGGCAAATTGTTTCTCTAACAGGGCTGGAGAGGAAAGGTCGATTGATTTCAAATATGCCATCTGACAGATGGGCACCTCTCACCTTTGATTTAAATTTTCTTTACTGACCTTTTGCTTTTCCTTATAAGAAATGTATATTTTGTTACCTTCTACCATCCCCTTCATTTGCTCTTTAGGCGTGCCAGGAAAGCGCAATGAGCTGTACTACGAGTGCTGTAAGGAGCCGTACCCCGATGTGACGTTCACAGTCACCATGCGCCGCAGGACTTTGTACTATGGTCTCAACCTGCTCATCCCCTGTGTGCTCATCTCTGGCCTGGCCATGCTGGTGTTCCTGCTCCCTGCTGACTCTGGAGAGAAGATCTCGCTGGGTACAAAACGAGTCGCATACATCAAATCACCACTGAACACATGAAAAACTCTCATACCAGTACAAAGACAAGGATTCATGATTATTAGCATAAATCTGACAAAAATATATCTTTCTCCCAGGGATTTTAGGTCCCAGTGCAATCGCAAAACCATTTCTGTCTTTGCTTTATGCTAATGCTGACATTACAGCTGTGGATTAGCATTTATGCTGGGTACTTTTCATTTGCAGATGTATAAAAACGCCAGCATAAACACGGCAAAAGCTAATCACCTGGACTTGAAAATGTCAGCTCGATTCAAATTGACAGTCAGTGAGAAAGAGACACATTTAGCTGTAAAAAAAGGAGCAATCCAAAATAAATGCATACCTTTAATTACCTATGCTTGAGTCCAAACCTGCATTTATTTTGAGTTCTTTCAAGTGACAAACCAGACAAGGCGTAACAGATGTGTTTCTGTTCTCATTGTTCTCCAGGCATAACGGTGCTGCTTTCTCTGACAGTGTTCATGCTGCTCGTAGCAGAGATCATGCCTGCAACTTCAGACTCCGTTCCTCTGATTGGTAAGACATTATTACTTTCTATTTATTGCTCATGTGTTGGGCATAGAAACTGACAAACATGGAGAGAATAGTTCATTTGTATTTGGTATAGATCCCAAAATTGTACAATTTGTTATGCAAACAATAATGGTTTTCTTTACAGTTTTTACCCTAATTTAACTGCCTGTAGGCAGCTATAGGACTTTGTGGACTGCACATTAGAGCATGGAAGAGTTGTATGGAAATCTTTTTCTTGGCAGGCAAACAGAATTAAGACAGTTGGTCACGATAGGCTAGGAGCCAGAAGAGAGTGTTCCTCCTTATACCACAGTGCTGGCTGTAAGAGAGCACACATCAAACAACTAATGTGTTGCGACTGGGGGAGAGGTGCTCGAGGTTTGGGGTTGGGCATTTGATTGCTAAAACAGCATGCAAAGATTGTGCTTGGTGCAGGAGAAAAACCACCACGCTGCTGTGTGAGATCACACTGATGCAAACAGGAAAAGACAAGGCAGCGGGCAAAGACATGAGCGGGAAGGCATCAGACAGAAATGCTACTCTGCATCAACTGGCAGCTCAGTGATGTAAAACAAGGCCATTAGCAATGCGTTCTTCATGAGGCTGGATGTTTCAGCACTGCAGACGAAGCAGAACCGATGGACAACAGTGGAAAGGAAATGCTACAAAGTATTTGGTCCGGCTAGGTTTCATATAGCTTCCAGACATGTAAAAAGTTTTGATTTGTTTGGTTTACTGGGAGGTAACAGCTGCAGTAAATGCACATGAACTACAAATAATGTGCAGTTTCATGCATTCCGGGCCTCTATTCAATTCAAGTGTCTTAGTTTGGTTTGATTGTATAGGAGACATGTTAGTCGTCCTGTTAGCAGCACTTTGGGACGTCTTGATCTTGGACCTGTTGATGAGGATAAACTCTCCAAAACAAATGACTGAGGCTCCATCACCTTTAACTGGGAATGCAGATGCTGTAAACAGCATTTCTTTCAAATTAGATTATAAACTGAAAAATAATTGAAGCGCTTCCATTTTATTCTTGTGTGAACAGTTAAAAATCTTTTTTTTTTTTTTTTTAATCAACAAAGGTGTCTTAATTCCACCTCCTCCTATGCCTAATCTAGAACTCCAGGAATGATGGATTGCCTTGTGTTGCAGATACCAGTTGCTGAAGTACAGAAAAAAATATACGTATGATGTATAATTTCAATTAACAAAAAAGTCTGATGAACAATAAAGTTCACTTGAATAGAGCAAATTAAAAAAAAGTTAAACTCTTGATATTCCACCAATTGTGTATAGCCAAAAGTGTTTTTTTTTAATCCTCCTCTGAAACTGACAACAATACTAATACAATGTTGTAGAAAAATGATCAACAAGTAAATGTAATATAAAAAAAATGGTAGGAGATTTTTATATTTATTTTTAATTACTGACACGTGTGTGTAAAGAATTTCTCTGTGCTTTGAACATGATAGAAGGAAAACTCTTCCCTCCGGCCGTCCCTCGTATGATACCAATGGACTGACGGTCCCGGTCAATTCTACTTTAATGTGACACAAAGTACTTCTACTCTAATTTACTCCCATTTATTTATTTTATTTATTAGCCTTTTCTGTTTCTGTTGTATTTTTGTGTCAGCATTACAGCGTCACATTCAGGACTGGTATGGTTACTGCAGTGTTTGGATTATTTTCTGTGTTTCCGTGTGGATGAAAACATGTGTCTACAAATAACAAACAAAGTCCATGCTCAATAATCCAGGTATACAATCCAACATTTTTCAGTCAGATCATCTGGACATTTTCTTTTTTTTTTTTTGCTGAAATGTTTCACCTTCCGGATCGAAGGCGAAACATTTCAGCACATAGAAAGAAACTGTCCAGATGACCTGACTGAAAAATGTTGGATTTCTACAAATGGTGCTGTTTATGACTTGTTTTGGAAAGACAATGTTCAGATGTTGATGTGCCCTGAGTTGGTTATAGTTCAGTCAAGCTTACTTTGATTCACTTACAGGTTACAGGATAAACTTTAAAGTTCAAAATATGCTGGTAAATAAAATAAATATATATATATATATATTTTTTTATTTTATCAATTTGTGATATACAAATGTTTTTCTGCCCATCCTCAGCTCAGTACTTTGCCAGCACCATGATGATTGTGGGCTTGTCTGTAGTGGTAACCGTCCTGGTTCTTCAGTTCCATCACCATGATCCTCGAGGAGGGAAGATGCCCAAATGGGTAGGCTAAAAAACGATAATGCATTTATTAATTTGTTTCTGTAAATGAACACGTACCAGTAATACTGTATTTTCAGAGGCAAGCAGAAGGACACACTTGAAGCTGATTTTAACAACAAGATGACAATTTCTTGAGAATCGGCCTTGAAGTACAAACTTTTGTCAGATCAGCTCAGACAATGATACCCAAAGTGCTTCTGGCTTTCCAGAATATATACCTCAGTGCACCTGCTGGACAGCCGATACTGTCACGATCCTCGAGGTTGGAACCCAATTGCAGAGAGATGAGTGA